CACCCCACCCCCGGGCTTGGCCTGGCCCTCCTTCCAGCCTTCCCATGCAGTGCCCACGTGTGGTTTCGCGGTGGAGCCTGGCAGACACAGCTGAGCCCCCGTGCCTCTCGCTGGGGCGGGAGGCCTGAGCATTGCGGGCCTGCGACCCAGCCCTCTGGGCCCTCTGTTCTGTCCCTCAGGAACCTGCCCAGAGCCACAGGAGGCTGGAGAAGCGGGGCCGGGGCCAGCCACACATGGTCGGGGACTCAAACCTCAGCCCCGTGTGGGGCCCGGCCGCTGCACTCGGTCGCACCCTGGCACCCCGTGGGAGTGGACTCACACCGTGCGACCTTCGGTGGCTGGTTCCGCTGGGCACGGCACCTTCCTGTACCATAGTGTTTGATCCACATAGAAGGCTGTGTTCGCTAGGCTCGGCCCTGGAATACCTATCTTGGACCCTGGGCAGGAGGGTGGAGAGTTCAAGGCCGGCCTGGGCAGCACAAGCTGGAGTCTCTCAACACAACAGGAACAGGAAGGGTGCGTGCGGGTGACAGAGTGTCCTGAGGGTGCCAGGGAGCCCCGCCCACTCAGCAGGAGCGTCTCCCGCTGTGTGTTCCTGGTGCACGTTTCACCCCAGTGCACACGGACGGCAGAAACCTTTCATCCTGCCCCCAGCCCAGCGTGGTCTGGGCGGCCGAGCCAGAGTGGGGGCCTAGGGTTTGGGGACGGGAAGGGGCTGCTCTGGAGGCCGGGGTCCGCGTGCCCTGGCCTCTCAGCCGTACCTCATCTCATTCCAGCAGGTGCCTCTGGCCGCGACCTTGGCCCCGTTTTACAGGTGAGGAGACAGGTGAGGAGACAGGCGCGGAGAAGCCTGGCGGGGTGCCGGGGTCCCTCGAGCCCTGGTCTTGATGGCGTGCCTCCGAGTCTGTGTCCTGACCCCCACTCAAGTCCTGAAGGGTGCATGAGGGCCAGCATCCTGGTGAAAGGCCCCTTCCTCCATGGGGACCGGAGGCACGCCTGGCCTGACCGCCCTGCCCTGCCCTGACCGCCCTGCCCTGCCCGCCCTGCCCGCCCTGCCGCAGAACCGCCGAGCGGCTGCCCTGGCCGCTTCCCTGGGCCTGGGGCTGCTGTCCACTCCTGGGAGCCCTCAGGCCCCAGGCTGGGGCAGTGTCTTTGTTCACGACTTTAGCAAACGGGAACCGACCAGGGCTTGCTTTGCTGTGGCTGGTCTATTTCTGCCCGCTCTGCTGGTCTCAGTGAGCTGCTGGTCTCGTTTCTGTTGGCGCGGCCTTACCCGAGGGTCCCCGGTTACAGCCTGTTGTCTCCCGTGTTTCTGTCTGCGTGCTCCGGGGGCGGGCCTCGTTCTTGCTGAGTCTCGGGTGGCCTGTGCTTCTGCACGCGCGGGCTCAGCTGCAGCGGGCAGGCAGCAGGCGAGGCTGGCGGGCGATGCGCGGCCCAGACACCCGTGCTCACTCACTCGGCCCTCAGTGCTCACGTGCTCTCGGGTGCTGCCCGCACCTCCGAGACGGGGCCAGGACGAGCCCAAGGTCTCAGGTCTCCGACTGCAAAGCCAGCGAAGTCGTCTCTCGTGAGGGCCAGGGGTCCGTTCGCTGTGTCCTCACCCTTGATCCTGGATGACCTCCACAGACAGGGGTGACGGAACCCTCCTGTCCGGCCCCGCCCCACACTTCTGGGGCAGCGAGCGTCCACGTCCACTCACAGTGGGAGAGGTTCGGGGCTTCTGTCACCCCGGAAGCCGCTGGTCACCGAGGAGCTGGGTCTTGGGGCAGTGGAGGAAGTGAGTCAGAGCCCGGGCCGGGCTGCTGTCTGCCTCCCACGAGCCGCGCCGTGTCACCATCCCCTGCTGCAGCCAGAGCTGGCCACCAGCCACCCCTGCCAGTGACACGACTTGGCAGGGGGTGGGAACACAGGGGTCCCGGCTCACAGCCTCATCCCACGGCACCCGCCGGGCAGTCCCTGCTGCTGCTGCCACTCCAGACGGCCCTGAGCCCCCGCCGGTTCCAGACGTTTTCTTGGCCACAGCTGAGGGCCGTGAACTGAAGTTTTTGTTGTTAATTTCCCAGAGAGCGTGTGTACTTGCCGGAGAGCGACAGAGCAATGCAGAGAAGGTGAGAAAGCGCCCCCACTTCTCCCTGCGGGATTTGGGGCGCACGCACACATGCCCGCTGTGTTCAAGCCGGCAGGCCGGGACTCAAACCACACAGTGGGCCATGGGAATCTGCTTTAACCACCATGCCTGCTGGCCCTGAAGTTCATTTGTAATGAAAGCTTTTTAAAAAGCAGAGCCTTGAGCCCCCGTCAGCAGTGACAGGTGGGCGTCAGGGTGAGCGCGGGTGCTGGGGAGGTGCCCTCGGCCCCTCGGCCCCTCGGCCGGTGCGCACTTCCCTCCAGGGCTCGGCTCCCTTTCCCTCCATCTCTGTCTCCCTATAAAAACTAAACAAGGGAATAAAATCGAACTTGGTGGGGAGAGAACCCTTGTGGTTGCAGCTGAAGGCCCCAACGCAGCGGGGTGTGAGGGTTGTGACTGGCCGCTTCAGCTCCTGGCGCCATGCGGGTGGCTCAGACCGGAGGGCCCTGCTGGGAGGACGGCTTTGACGGCTGTCTGGGGGCCACTGACCTGGAAACCACGCTGCCTCGGGGGCCTCGGTGGCAGGCGCCACGGCGCGGCTTCTAGCCCCTTCCCATGTGCACACCTGCCACCTCCATCTCGCCCCATGGGGGCCTTGGCCTTACAGACAGCTCGGGGGACATTGTGGGCTGCCGGGGCCCTGTGACCCTCGGGTCCAGGCCTTGTGTGGCACCACGCAGGTGCACCGAGGGTGCCGATGTGGGGAGGAGGGGGGGGGCCTGCGCTTCTCCCAGCCCTGGGGATCGACCCAGTCGGCCAGCTAGGGCATATGCTCGCCAGAGAGTCAGACTGAGAAACCACCCCTGGGGGATGGCCATGCCGCAGTCCCTTCTCCGTTCTCCTCTCAGGGTCTTGGGCACACCTGCACACGCGCCCGGTGTGAGTAAGCCGCTGGGTCCAGGACTCGAACCATGGTCGACTACGTGGGAGTCCAGCCACGCAGCCATTACGCCATCTGGCCCCTGATCTACGGGGTGTTGGCGGTTCCTGGACCCCTGCCCTCTGCGGGTGGCATCTACGCGGTGCACCAGTGCCCACGGTGCTCGCAAACGACCAGGCTCTTCTAGAGCTGTCCCTGCGGTCCCCGGAGTGCCATCTGGGGGCACTGGGTGTTGCTCACAGGCGTAAAACGAGGCCCAGACCTGAGAGAGGCAGGGCCTTCCCACGTGCCCTCCAGGACTCCGCCATGCAGGGATGTCCTGAGCCCTGAAGCGCTGAGCCCCGCCTTGCTCCCGGCTGTGGTGCTGGGTCAGGAGGAGGAGGGGAGGGTGGCTCCCAGCAGGAGGAGTGGTGGTGCCTGGCTCCTGGGTTCTGGGTTTGCGACACGGTTGGTCCCTGGCCACCTGATTCGGGAGACACAAGGAGGCAGCCTTGTCCGATGGCCACGGCCACCTGACCTGTTACCAAGTGGGCTCCGTGTCCCCCGCAAGCCCTGTGGTCCCCGGCCTTCCCCCTCAGGTCTGTGACCGCTGAGAGCCCGCGGGGTGCCCCCAGCAGAAGTCAGCAATGGCAGCCGTGTGGGATGAGCATGGCCTCCTCCGGGAGCCTGCCCTGTGTGTGTCCCTGGGGGTGAGGCTGCGGGTCGTGGAGGCCCTTGGGAGGAGGAGGCCTGCAGCCTCTTTTGACTGTCTGCGTCAGTCACCCCACGCCCAGCAGGTGGGCCAGGACAGCATGCACATGCCAGGGCACCCCCAGACGTGTGGCTTTGGCCTAGACCTGGTGGCATCAGGGCAGGGCGTCCGTCATCTTGGCCCCAGCAGCACTGAAGGGCGGTCCCCCTTGAGTGCCAACACCCATCCCAACCCCAGTCATAGGCCCCCAAGCTCACCCTGGCAGAAAGAGGAGAGACCCCTGGGTCCCTGCCTGACCCCCACAGCCTCACAACTGTCCCAGAGCAGCCTCCCCCGACCTCCAGGCCCCCCATTGTCCTGTGGGGTTCACGGCTCCCGGGCACCCCGGCTAAGCCCCCCTGCCCCTCGTACCCCAGCCATCACGGCTCTGTGAGTGCACTTGACTTTAGTTGCAGAGAGACAGGGAAGGCACCCATGGGGCGCGGTCACCCCATCCCTGTCCATCTCTCCCTCCTTGCACGCAGGCCCACAGTGCCAGGGTTGAAACCACGGCCGTGGGTAATCTAGCCTGACCTTTTTGGGATTTGGGGCACACACCACACATGCCTGTCAAGTTTTAAACCCCTGAGTCCAGGACTCGATTACGTGGGAGCCCAGCAACGGACCGATTACGCCACCTGCCAGCCCCATGACCTGCTGTGTGTCCACCTCCTGCCCGCCCCGACCCTCTGTGCCCCTGCAGGCAGCCCTCGTGGCCAGCTCTGGGGGCACAGTCCCCCCCCCCACTGCATCTGACAGCAGCTGGAGGAGCCCCAGTGCCCTGGGGGAGGGGTGTGCTCTCTGGGGGTGCGGATGGGGTGGGCCCAGCTGGCCTCTCCCTGGGGTGCTATGGCCCCAGTGTGGTGGGGGAGAGTCTGAGGCCCCCCAGGCATGGGCAGCCTCACAGGGGTCCCCTGGGGGTGCCGAGGAACTGGCCCAGAGCTTGTTTCATCATCTCCTGAGACCCAGCCTTGCTGCAGGCTCCCGGGAGTAATCTCACTTTGGTCCAGGAGACACCTGAGGGCTTCCGGGAAGAGAGGGTGATTAGGCCAAGTTGAGGGAGCTGCTTTCTGTCCCCAGGTTATCATCATCGTAAACTTTGGAGGGGTGAGGGGATGAGGAGCCTTGGTCACCTTCCAGCCCATGGGGCTTCCCAGACACCATGAGGGAGCAGGGAGGTGGCTGGTGACATGGGCACTGAGCTGAGGCCCGTGTGCTGGGACACCCTTCTCGGGCCCAGGCCAAAGGAGAGGGGCCACCTCCTGGAGCCTCGGCCAAGGGAGGGTCTCCAGCAGGACCTCCCCGACAGGCCGTGCTGCTCTGCGGCAGCCGTTTCCTGAGGGCCAGGGCTGCCTGTCCCTCAAGGGCGTCCCGCAGCGGGTCAGGCAGGGGACTCGGCCGGTCCTGGCCACAGCCACAGACCCAGCACCACAGCCACGAGTGGCCCCCAGGAGGCCCCTCCTGCCCCCGCTTTCTCCTCCTCTGCATCTCATCCAGGGACCCTTGGCCACACGCACCCCTCCTCCTCCTGCACCCCAGAGGTGACAGCCATTCACCCAGCTGCCCAGGCTGACCGCCTCTACCAGCAGGGAGCCCTCGCAGATTTCTTCATGCTCATGGCAGGTCCATGAGGAAGTCCTGTCACTCTCACCACCCTGTGGCATGTGCTCAGGACAAGACCCCAAACCTGAATGAAGCCCCCAGGGCCACCCCTTCCGAAGGACAGGTCCTGCCCCAGGCCCTTTGCAGGCGTTCCCACCCCCCACTCCCTTCCCTCCGTCTTTACACCCACAGCCGACTTCGGTCCTCTGCCTTCCCCTTGAGGCTGAATCCCGTGCAGGTGGCAGCCTGCGGGGCTCCCCAGGTCGGCCGGCCAGGTGCGTGGTGGTCCCCAGGGCACCTGCCAGAGCTGGGAGCTCAGCCCTCAGCGGCCGGCAGGACCGGCCAGGGCGATTGCGGGGAGACCTGACGCCCAGCACCTTCCGCAGAAAGCCCCGCCCCCGGCCCGGGCATCCTGCACACCCCTTCCTCCCCTGCCTTGCCGGCCGCACCCCTCCCGGCTCCCTGCAAGGCAGAGATGATGGAAAACCAGCCCGCTGACAAAGAGTTAAGCCGGCCCTCCTAGCAACCCCAAAATCCGAGTTTGGCATCGAAACGGCAAAAGCAAGCAGTTGGTTAGCGATTCGGTCCAGATGGGTGAGCCGTCTGGGGGACCGGCTCACTAACGGGGGAGCCCCCTCTGACCTCCCCTCCCCAGCGTGGCCGCCAGGCCGCGGGCCGAGCAGACGAGCCCCTGCCGCGACCAGGCGCCCAAGGAGCCACACTGCTGGGGACGGGGACGGAGGAGCGGTCCCAGAAGGGAGCGGCCGGCTGCGGATGCGGGAGCGGTTGCTAGGAGACGCGGTGAGTGTGGGCGGGATGGTGCAGGTGGGCGGGGGAGAGGGAAGGCGGAAAGGCAGGGCTGGCCGCTCCACCCCAAGGTCACCAGTGACACGGAAAGGTCGCTGCCAGCATGCAGGCGCCCCTGTCCCCAGTGAGTAGCCCTCAGTGACTCGGGTGTCCAGCGGCTGGTCAGGGCCCCCTGTGCCCCTCTCCTCCCTGGCTCCTTAGTGTGACACCAGGGCTGAGAAGTCCCGGGTAAGCAGGTCGAGGGCTGTGCTGGGCAGGACAGGGGAGCATCCAGGTCGCTCCCGACGCCCTGTCCTCACTCCTGCTCCCAAACCAGAGTGCCCGGGAGGCAGGTGCACACGCCCAGCGTCCACAGCGGGCTGAGGTGGAGGCAGCCCGGGGCCCACCAGGAATGGATGGGCAGGCAGACACTGCAGCTCGCGGGCGTGGCGGAATATTAGTCAGCCATGAAAAGGAGGGCAGTAATGCTTCGACCCACATGGCAGGGTCCTGGTCACACCCGGGACCTCCTTGGTCGTGCTGGGTGTGCGAGCGAGCGCGTGGCCCGGTTGGGCGAGGCAGAGGGCGGCAGTGCAGGGTCCCGTTGAGGGGTGCTTGTCTCCTGCTCACGCTCTGGAAAACAGCTGAGGGAGCCAGACAGCAGTGAGGCCAGCAGGCGGCGTGGGGGTCAAGGCCCTGGTCTGAGCTGACCGCGGTTGGGGTCCTGCTGCTCGAAAATCGTGCCAGGCGTGTGTGCGTGCCTGCCCGGAAATCCAAGAAGAGGGACTGCAGTGTGGCCACCCCCAGGGTCTTTTCTCTTCCCTCTCTTCTTTCTCTCTGGTGAGCACCCGCAGCCCATGGCAAAGACCTTAAATAAGTAAGTAAATGGGCCCAGCAGTTGGCATAATGGCTGTGTCGCTGGACTCCCATGTAGTCGACCGCGGTTCGAGTCCTGCCCCGGAGGCTGAAACTCACGCCAGGCACGTGTGCATGTGTGCCCAAGATCCCTAGAGAAGAATGGAGGAGAAGGGATTGTGGCACCCCCCCTCCCTGGGGGGTGATTTCTCGCTTTCTGTCTCTCTGTCTCTGTCTTTGTGACGTGCACATACGCCCTGTAGCAAAAACCTCTCCAATAAAAATAAAATAAAACGTGATAGGTGAAACGTCAATAGACAGGTTGGAAGAAAAAGTAAAGGGAACAGCTTTAAAAAGGCAGAAAGGAAACGCAGTAGACAAGGAGACGAGAAGATTGGTCCAAGAAGCCAGCATGCGACAGGCGCATTCCCCGAAGAGAAAAGGGAACCAGAGAGGAGAGGACCACCAGGGCCGGGCTTAAGGGAGCTGGAGCCCACGTGGACAGCCAGGGTTGGAGAACACGCCGGCACGGGGCCGCCACATGGCCTGGTACTGAAATGCTGTCTTTCTCTGGCAAGCTCATGTGCCCTATAGCAAATTAAAAATAATAAATACGTAATTCTAAAACGAGAGAGGGAGAGGGCGGGCCAGCCCACGGCATGGTGGTTAAGGCGCGGGACTCTCCTATATGACTGACTGCAGTTCGAGTCCGGACCTGGCGGTGCGCACTCACTCTTTCTCTCTCTCTGGCCGAATTAAAATAAATGAATAAATAAAGTTAATCATTTTTTAAAAATTATAAAATAAAGAGAAGCACTCCAGACACATACGCATGCTTCCCGCAAACCCCGCCAGGGTGGAAGGGAAGTGGAGAAGTGATTGCGGCATGGCCACGCCCCACTGCAGTGCTTCCTCCTCCCCCCTCTCTCACTGTCTGGTGAACGCACGAGCTCTCTGGCAGAGAAAAAAAAGGAAAGGAAAGAGAGATCACCAGTGATAGCCATCGAGGGAGTCTGGTTTGCCAGGAACAGAACACATGACGCTGGGTACCCACACAGTGGTGAGGACAGACCCACACGCAGCCCGCTTCTGGGTTGAAAGTAGGGTATGGGGAACAAGAAGAGTCTACAGTCGTCCAGAGAGGAGAAGTGACAAGCGGAGGACAAGGGAGCAGGACAGCTTCAGAAAGACCACAAAACAAGGAGACTCAGACCCCAAGACAGGAGCTGCATCCTGGGGATCCCATGTACTAACAGGGACCAGGACCACGCTGGCCGGCAGCCTGTCAGCGGCCATGAGGACAACCAGCCCTGAGTGGGAGTCAGTTCCGTTGGACAGCTGGGAGAGGGGTCACAGCCGTTCCAAACCGCGGCGATGACTAAGTCCAGGGGAATGAGGAAGCACGTCTGAGGATCAGTGTTCCTAGTGGACGGCACCCAGCCCCTGGGGAGTGGAGCCGTGCCGTTCCGTCTCCAGCACACAGTAAAGCACCCTGTGAGGACCAGCTACTTACCCTGTCAACACGAAGATGTACTTAGCCCTGGAGGGGCGCCTCGCTAAAGTCAGAGAGCTTTGTTTTTACTTAAAAAAAAAAATTTGCAAGGGGGCCTGCAGGTGGCGTGGTGGCTAGAGATGCTGGACTCCCACATGGCTGAACGTGATTAAAGTCCCGGACCTGGTGGTTTGTTTCATTTTCTCTCTCTCTCTCTGATCAAACTGGAACATAATAAAAAAGTTAAATAAAACAATTATTTTTAAAAAGTGTTTGCAGGGGCCGGCAGGTGGGGTGGTGGTTAAGGGCGCTGGACTGCCACATGGCCAACCACGGTTCGAGTCCCAGGCCTGGCAGCTTGCTTTCTCACTTTCCCTCTCTCTTTCACTCTGTCCCTCTCTGGTCAAAATAAAAATAAAGTTAAATAAAATAATTATTTAGAAAAAAAATAATTTTTGTTATATAGGGCACATGCACTCACCAGAGAGAGAGAAATGAGAACTCATGGGACCAGCAGGCGGCATGGTGGTTAAGGCGCTGGACTCCCACATGGCCGACCATGGTTCAAGTCCTGAACCTGGTGGCTAAGTAAAGTTAAATGAAATAATCCTCTACACGCCACCTTGCCTTCTCCATCCTCTTCTTGGGATTCTGGGCACACACGCAGCCCGCGTGGTTTTCACGCCCCTGGGGCTGGAATCAGCACTGAGTCAGCCACGTGGGATCCAGCCCCGTGTGCACAGTCCACAGCTTGACTCCGGATGCGACCGCTCGCAGCCCGCGCTGGGTCGCCACTGCAGGTGGATGCCCATGTGCCGTCACCCAGCGAGCCGAGATCTGAACTCGAGCCTCCCACAACGCACGTGCGCAGGTGGGGCAGTCCTCGTCTAGCGGAGGCCGTCTTGGTGTTCACAGACGCCGCACCAGGCAGCACTGCCACGGGACCCTCCCACGAGGGCTGATCTGCAAAGGAAATCCACACCGGATGAGTAAGGCCCCGTCGGTCTTCCCGGTGTGTGCCTCCAGCACTGGAAGTGGCGAGAGAGAACGCCGACAATTTAAAATAGTGCGCAGAAAAAGGGAACCGGCCGGCTGGTGTACGGACCCCACGCGGCCAACCTCGCAGCTCCAGGCCCAGACCCGGCGGCTTGAGAAACATACAGGACATGAGTCACGCGCCCAGGATACCAGGGGGAGGCCGGAGGCCACGGGATTGTGGCGTGGCCATCCCTCGCCCCCCGGAGCGATTTCTCACTTCTCCTCCCTCTCTCCTCGGCAAGCACATGCACCCTATGGCAAAAACGAAACAAAGAAATAAAAAGAAAATTAACGAAATAAAAGGTGATTTCTAGCAAGGAGAGAAACAGCTGGGAGACCAGGGAGGGGACGGCTGCGCCACCGGCTGGCACGGGATCTCCCAGGACCAGAGACTCTGAACTGGTGTCGATGGCATGTCATAAGGTGTGCGACAGGGAGGGTGAGGAGGGAGGAGCAACTGGCGTTGCCACCTCTGGGGACTGGAAGGCCGTGGAGTCCTCGGGACCCCGAGTGCTCACAGCCCTGAGCCTACCCTTTCTGGGGCTCTGATCCGGTTAAACCGCAGGCTCAAAGCCCCCTGGAGCTCAGCGCTGGGTGCCTGTGACCACACCCTGCGGGGGAGCTCCCTGCACCCCAGGCCAGCTTCTGGCGGCTTGGGAGCCTGGGGCTGTCACCTCCCAGCTCAACACTGACCACTCCTTCCAGGATAGGCCCTCCCAGAGGGTGGGACAAGGACCCCAGACGGCCGTGGGGAGGCCCGGCCTAAGCCTAAGCCCTTCTGCAGAGAAAGCCCGTCCCTTCGAGCCCTCCTCCCATCTCTCTGCTGCGTGGAGGGGCCAGTTCCCTGGGCCACCAGGCGTCCTGCCGCCCCGCCCACGCCTGTGAGCGGAGTGAGATAAGCCCTGGGCGGGCCGGGCCAGTAGCAGTGTGGACAGATCTAGTGCCGGTGTGGGTTTCCGCCGGGGCGCTTTTGGCTTGACACTTCTATTTCAGGCGAGTGAGGATGACCGGATGGCCAGATGGCCGGCCATATAGGGCGGCCCCCTGCTGCAGGACCCCCAACCCCCTGGGGGAGCCACAGCCTGGACCACCTGCCAGCCAGCTCCAGGGAAGCAGTAGGCGGGGGTCCCAGGGCAGAGCTGCCTCCCGCAGAGATGCGAGCAGCTGCACCAGGGCAGGGAGCTGGCCCATCCGCTGCTGCCCACTCCTCCCTGGGGATAACCGCATGCCAGTTGGAGCTGCCCTCCCGAACTGTCCCCTCGCATTCTCGCCCGCGTGACATGAGTGGGGTCCTGCCGTCCGCATGCCCTGCCCCGGCAGTGGTTACGACAGCGGCATTCTGACCACTCTGCTACCCAGTCCCCGAGTTTCTGCACAGTGTTCCGCAAGAGGGATGTCCTCTCATGGGCCTCTGTCCCCAAATCACGTGGTGCCTTGGCGTGGTGGACACTCAGCCCTCTTGGGTCCCAGGGGTGGAATGGCCTGGCTGTCTGGGTCTCCCGGCTCGTTGCAGCCGAACCCCAAGCTTCATCTTGGTCCCAGAGGACACGCCCTTCAGCGACGATGGCGGTGGAGCTGGGGGTGGCCCAGGCCAGTGAGACTCAGGCTGGTGTCCACCTGAGGAGACCCCGGCGTCTTGCGAGGTGGGAGCTGGCCCCAGGGGGGACAGGCTGGCAGACCTGGGCTGCCCCTCCGCAGCCTGCTCCTGCAAACAGCTTCCCGCTCCAGATGTTCCCCTCCCTGTCCCACTTTCCCTCACTGCTGGGGACAGTGACACTGATGGCGGCTGACATTTCCCAGCGCCCTTCCGTGGCTAGTGCCAGGCACCAGCAGCCCTCTGCGGCCACTGTACTGGGGTGCACTGGGCTGGGGGGCAGCGGCTGCAGAGTTGGAAGCGTCTTCTGGGTCTTCTGGCTTGTGCGGCTTGCTTACCTCCCTGGACGGGCAGCTCAGTGACACACCACGAGGGTGAGGGAGGCCCCTGCTCCATGCTGAGACCACCCTTCCCCCGCCCTGCTTCCCTGCCAGGCCAGTCGGGGGCTGCCCAGGCCGCAGCTCCTCCCGCGTCCCCCCTCCTCGACCCTCCTTCTCCCCCCAAAATGAGGAAACGGTGCAAGTTGCTTCAAGTTGTGCAGCCCGGACCGCCTCGGGGTGCGCAACCGGCTCACGCGGGCCCTCCCGGGGGGCGGGCTCGGGGCGCGACACGGAGGCGCCCCCTGACCAGGTGAGCTTATCAGTCGGTGGGGAAGGGGGGGGGAGAGGTCCGCAGGCGGGAGAACCCCAAAGGATCCAGGGGGGGCCGGACTTGGGCGGTGCGGTAGCGAGGAGGCACAGTGCGGGCGAGTGCGCGCGTCCCGGGCGCGCGGCAAGTACGCGGCTGGAGCAGGGGGGTGGGGAGAGACGGAGGCCATCAGGCGTGGGGTGGGGTGTGGGGGGGTATTTTTCTGGGCGCAGGTGTGCGCGGCTACGAGCCCCGCTGTGCGCCTCCGCGCGTCCACGTGGAGGCTGCGCGCCTGCGGCCCAGATGCGGGTACCAGCTGTACGCGGGGCTCTGCGCTGCGGGGCCAGGTTCCCAGCTTGCCAGTGTCTGCATACGTGCACACGTGTGGTCGTGTGTGCACACCTGTCTGGGGACGTGTGCCTTTGCTCACATGCCCTGCCTGCCTGCCTGGGCTGTGCGTTCGTGTGTGTGCTCGGGTGTGCGTGGGTCGGTGTGCGTGTGAGCACACCCGGCTGGAGGGTTCATGGAGCCCCACTGCAGGGGCCGCGACTGCACCCCCGGCTCTCCCCACTGTCCACGCAGTGGGGGCGTGGGGGCGGGGAAGGTCCCACAGCCATGAGGACCTGGTGTCCGTCCTGGGTGGTGGCTCAGCGGCAGCCTGGGAACCAACTCCAGGGCCAGTGACACTTGGCGAGTGACCTTGAGTCATCCCACTTCCTGGCCCTGACCCTGCCTGCTTGCTAGGAAAGAGGAAGGGCCCAGGTCGTCGGGTGGCCCCAGGTCCCTTCCAGCTGTGCAGCGTGCCGCCCCAGCCGCGCCCTTGCCCTGGCCCCAGCCTGCTCTGCCGTGCCTCGGTTTCCCTTTGGGGCGATGGCGGAGCACGCCTCCGTGGTCTCCTCGCTGGCGGTTCATGACTGACTCTGCTAAGCCACCTCCTCAGAGAAAGACCGCCGTCCCGGGGGCTGGGGTCCCGCCCGGCTCCACCACGGAGGTCCGTCCCGGGCGCTCTGCCTCCACCTGGCGGCGCTGGAGGTGGTAGGAACCGGACCCTGGGCCCGGCCTAGCTCCAACCTGGACCCGCCCCTCCCCAGGTGAGCCCTCGCTTCCTCCGAGCCTGGCACCGCCTGCCCGTCTCGGCCAGGATGCCCACGGTGAGTGGCCCCAGGCGCGAGCCCCTGCTCGCAGCCCTCCCTGCACTCGCCCCCCGGCCTGGGGGCTGAGACCCGGGCCCGCAGCTCCCCTGCCCCGCTGCCCTGCCCCGCGCTCTCCGGCTCTGCAACCTGTCGTGGCTGGCCCCCGCCCGTCCCGGCCTGGCCTCTTGGTGACGTCCACGTTTCTCTCGGCCGCTCTCTCCTCGCCCCCTGTCCCGCGCCCGCCTCTCCTTTCTCTCCCTCCTTCCGTGTCTCCACCCCGCACCCCGTGCCTCTGGGCCCCACATGCCCCGACGCCCCTCCCCGCCCCG